GACCTGTCCAGGGTGTCCCCTGCCTTCACCCTAAGTCAGCTGGGATAGATTCCAGCCCCCCATGACCCTAGTGAGGATTAAGCGGTGTATAGATAATGGATGGATGGATGGATGTATAAAATATTCTTTTTTTTCTCCTTACGTTTTGTCTGTCAGTCCCCAGATTATGAGCCCTCACTCCCTGTTTCAGAGAAGTCGAACCCTCTGACGCGCGGCATCGACCGAGCTTCAGCCAGCAGCATTGTGAGGATGTTACAGGCCTGTGACGCCCAGATGTTTCAAGAAGAAACAGGAGCAGCCTACCAGGTACAATCACTCCACACATAATTAGTGACAAATATGTCCTCTAAAAATTCAATTGATAACTATCTGATTGTAATTTTAGAGACTTCTGAGCGAGCAAGTGGTGACGACATTGATGGAGGTTGCTAAGAAGGTGGAGCTCATTCTCAAGGTATCTTCTCTCCGACTCCTTGCATGGGTCTGTTTTGTCTGTTTTTCAGCCAGGTCACTGAGTCCTCTGTTTCTTTCACAGGATCCAGAGGACAGCCTTGTTATACTGAGTGGTTGTGGCACTTCTGGTCGACTGGCTTTCCTCATCACGGTAAAAGTTGCTCACAACATGAATTAGTTCCCTTGAAACCAGGCATAAGGAGGCAAACAACTGGTTGAGTGTTCATAATGGAAAGATAAAGGCAAGGAAGACCGTGCCTGTAATATCAAAAAATTGCACTGAATTAAGTTATTTCATCTAATCTTACTTGGTTTTTGGAAAAATGGCTTTCTGTAGTGTGGTTTTTTTGTGTGTTTGTGTGTGATGTTAGTCAAGGTTCAACAGAGCGCTGAGGCAGCTGAACCACAGTCCGGTTTATTCATACGTCATTGCAGGAGGAGACAGGTGTGTTGAGGTGGAGATTGTGTGAAATAAATGTAATGAAAGTACAATTAAACATACAAAAGACTTACTTTGTGTGGACTGACCTGTGACTAGTGAGCTTTTGATATTTCTATACATCAGCTAGCCACTATAAGCTATCGGTCATACCCAAACAAGTAGCAGCAGAAGCCCTGGAGGTGTGTTTTGTTGCACAGAAATGTGTTATTTCCTCTCTTTAAAGTTACATCGTTTCACTTTTTCTTCGCACTCATTTTCCTCAGAGCTCTGCTTTCCTCACAAGAGGCTCCCGAAGACGACCCCAAACTGGGCATGCTCAGTCTGAAGAAGGTCAGTGGCATCATTGAAAATGTTTAAGTGGAGACGGAAGTTAACTAGTGAATGACCAGCATTGCATCTTTTTTGGTTCTCTGCAGGTTTGCGAGGGAAAGAAGCGAGTTTTGTTCATCGGCATTTCGTGCGGGTTATCTGTAAGTCAGTCTGACAGTTCAGAGTCAGAGAAGAAGTTTACACGTGAACCCGAGGACAGACGTTTGACAGTTGGTGTTTATTTAACCTCTGCTGGTGAAACTGCTACTGCAATTGTTTTATTTCTGGTCCTGTAGGCTCCATTTGTGGCAGGTCAGCTGGAATTTTGCTTGCAGAACCCTGAAGTGTACACTCCTGTACTGGTTGGCTTCAACCCTGCACATCAGGCCAGGTGTGTGGGTGGATGTACTTCACTCTTATTGCAGAGTTAATCTCATTGCATCGATTTGTTTTGCACATCATTTTGCACACTGTATATTTCCCATACTGTATATTTTTGCACATTACAAATTACAATTATTTGAATTATCTCCAGTGCTTCCATGATTTGTTCTTGTTTAATGTATTTTCCTTGACTGTGATGACAAAGTAATTTCCTGCAAAAGATCAATCAAGTATCTGTTTATGTAAAGAGTGGTTAACCTACAGCATGCTATTTTACTGTGGAGAAACTTCTGTTATTTCAACATAAAAAACAAACTGTTCCTTTGTGCAGGGATGAGCCTCTTCCAGGCTGCACATTCACATTTCGCAGCGTGGTGCAAAGGATGGAGGAGCTCGCCAAAAGCCAACAGGCCTTCCTCATCAACCCAGCAGTTGGGGTATTTGTGCTCATCGCACTCGCGCGCACATTATTCCCGCTCCTCCACTTACTGTTCAGGTTGCATTTGTGTCAAGTCTCAGAATTAGAAACGAAGGAGCCGTGTCGCTCTGCTCTGTCCGCCGACTCTCTGTGTGTGTCTGTTCAGCCAGAAGCCATCAGCGGCTCCTCCAGGATGAAGGGAGGCAGCACCACCAAGATTCTCCTGGAAGTCGTCTTATCCGCTGCTCATGCTGCCACCTTCTCGCACGCACCCGTCACATACAAGTAAGCACGGATACAAACACCGAAAAGCTTTTTGAACGATTTCACCTGAAGCTACCTGGATTCGCTCACTCTTTGCACGATTCTATTTTAGCTTGCTGCTGCTGCTGTGAGAGGTTTCGACGGAGGTATAACCATGTCAAAGTGTCCTATAAATGACAGCGAAAGAAAGATACTTGAAATAGTTAAAGACTGTTGGAAATAGACAGCGTTAGGTGGGGAGATTGATACCCCCTCTTATGGCAAAATATAAAGCTAGAGCGAGCAGATGATTAGCTTAGCATAAAGAGTGGAAGCAGGCAGAAACAGCTGTCTTCTTCCAAAGTTAAGAAACACAGATTAAACACAGAGAACAAACAGATGGAGTACAATGTGTGAGCTGTAGAGGGGTTGGTAGGCATATTTCTTACATTTGGACAAAGAAAGCCCAACTGTTTCACACTTCTTCCAGTCTGTATAGCAGCTAACAGTCTGCTGGCTTTGCCTTGATATTCAGCATACAGACAGGCTGGTATTGATATTTTTGAATAAACAAACACAGACGAGCCACAATATTAAAACCACTTACACTGATTGTCCTGTTACAGTTGTTGAAGCGTGGAATACATAATGCAAACATTCCTTGATGCCACAATGATTAGAAAGTGATTTTAATTGGTACATTTTCTTACTGAACAAACAAACAAAAGTGGAAACACTGCATTTTGATTAATTTCATTTTCTGAAATTAAAATACATTGTCGTCAGGGAAAACAAATCAGATAATATAAACCAAATGTGTGGTTTAAATTGAAGCCGATCTAAAAATAACAAAAGCTTACATTGCTTTAGAGCCAATTACTTGTATTTAACAGACTTAAAAGTGCATCAGTGCCTGTTGTGTAGTAAGAATTCATGCAAGTGGACAGTAGACTAGCTCCTCGCAATCACTTTCATACCCTCACAGCACCTTCAGTCCCCTCTTTCTGCACCCAAAGGAGCAACGTGTTGCTTTCTAAGTGCTTCTTTGTGTTTACAGCCATCAGCCTGCAACCGCTTCATCCGAAAAACCCTTTACAAGTTTTTCACATTACTGCTGATCTGTGCCTTTAAGAGTGTGTCCACTCACACGTATCAGTGTATCGGCTCACAATTTTATCTACATCAGTGAATGAGAGCTTGCGAGCTTAATACGAGTTCACTACAGCTGTCATTTGAATACACAGTTATTGTTTTTCATCTCTGCAATTCAAGCTAAATCTAAGATTCACAAGTGGACCAGCTGTTTTCCCGTCACACAGCTGTAGCACAAAGCCAAACCGTGAAACATTCTTAAAACCCACGTGGCATTTGTCAAAGTATCCTTGAAGCTGACGGCAGCAGCCAGTTGAGAATCACCGCAGAAGCTGTTACACCGTGCAGCATTAGTCTAACACAGATCAACGGCAGAGTTTTCATTGTTTCCATTGTGTGTTACTGACCTCTAGAGGTCATTGAGGAAAAGAGAATGTGAATGTGATGCTGCTGGTTGGGTCAGTTAATGGAAGTAAATCTAAAATCAAATTTCTTCTTTTGTCTTTTCTGTTTCATTTCCAACAGCAGTATTTTGCAGCACCTGAGAGCCTACGAGAGAACTCTGGATATCACTTACTCTCAGAGTGAGATCATCACTGATCTGGTGGAAGCAGCAGGGGAGAGGTAGCACATCTCCGGTGACACCTTTTACTGTTGCCTCGGATTTTAATTAACACAGTAAACCAACTCAGGGTTATTTTGATTTACGGATCCCCCATGACTCTATTGATGTCAGTGTAGGGGGGGAAGGGGAAAATTATAGAATAGAAATCACTACAGTTAGTTAAAACCCAACCGTTACCACACCTGCTACTCTCTGCAGCATCTGTATAGATTTCACTCAGACTTCTGGATAGAAAAGTGCAAAAGCCTCCCACGAAAACCCTCAATAATGACTTATTTCAAAGCAGATTAGCGGCTTGAACGTATAGCATTTGTAACTCAGTAATCTTGCCACCATATCTTACATGTTTCAGTTTGCGGTGTGGCAGGCGAGTGTGCTACCTCGGCTGGGGATCGCTGGCTTTGCTGAGTCTCATTGACGCCAGTGAGTGCAACCCCACGTTTGGAGCAGGTAAGAGGAGCGCTCATTAGCAGCAAAACAACAACTGGTTCATTTGCACCTGAAAGAATATTTCCATTTCGCATGCAGTCACGTTGTGCTGCTGGCGTCTCGTAAATCTAACTCAGTGTGTGATGACAAACATTAGACGTATCTGTGTGTCTTAGATTACGAAGATGTTCGAGGCTTCGTCAGTGGAGGCTACAGAGAGCTGAGCAACAAAGAGGGACCCTTGACTTCACTGGTGTGTGTGAAGAGAAACAATGAATTAACATCCATTTAAACAAAAGAGGGGGGGGCATTATAATTAATGAGTAATTACTGCATCAAAACAAAGCCTTAATTTCACACAATGCATGGCCTTCTACTGATTTCTCTGAGCATCTTCTGCAGAAAATAGTGTCGGTGCGAGCTGACTGCAGACATGGAGATTTATGCTCCGGCTTGTCTGTGGGTTTTATAAGTATTAAAATGTCTCAAATCCAGCAAAATCCAATTAAAATGACATCCAGGTCTTGTTTTGCACCCTGTAATGACACATCTGTCTCTTCAGCATGTGACTGGTAGATTAACCCTGAACAGGATTAGAATAAAATACACCCCGCTGTACCTGCTTTGTGAAACCCTGTTGGACTTCATGTCTGTTTTCAGTTAATCTGCTGTAGTCTTTTTTTATAATACTGCTCATTGGTCTTAATTAAGTCTTCAATTCAACTTAAGTAGCACTTACAAGGGATTCTTTAGCAGTTTTGCAGAGAGAAAAAAAAAAGAAATTATTCACTCTAGCTTCCACCTGTAGGCTTCTTTCTCGACTGCTGAGCTAAGAGTTTCCCTGTGGGGAGTGACGAGGTCGGAGCCTATATTCCAATTGTGTGATTAATGCAACTACTTCAAATGTTTTGCCTCAGTGCGTGAAACTATAGAAAAACTGTGTCGTTGCCCTCTAAATTACCCCAGAGAGCTGCGGTAGTGTTTTGAAACAGAGAAAAGGAATTTCATCAGCATTACAGCCGCTACAATTTGAATACATGCATATATATATGTGGGCTCTGTGTGTTTGTGTTTACGTCTCAGTCAGTCGCTTTATTCGTATAGCGCTTTTCATGCAGACATACAAAGGCTTTAAAGAACCAGAAGAAGAACAAAAAATCAGGATAGCAAAATCAGACCATAACAGAAAAGTGAAGGGTTAAAAGAGAAATAAAACAGACAAAAACATATAAATAAATAGACAGATCTTGAGTTGGTTTTTCAAAATACCAACATTCTCTGCTGCTCTATGCATGCCAGCAAGTTGTATTGCTGTTTTTCAAAGGTCAACGAAAGTTTCCACATAATTTACCTAAACATGCTTTATGTCGGGTGCCGCAATAGCTCACCAGGTTGAGCTGGCATCCCCCCGCACTGGGCAACAGTCCCGAGGTGGAGGTCGTGAGTTCGAATCCGGCTCACGGCTGATGGCCCTGCGATGGACTGGTGACCTGTCCAGGGTGTCCCCTGCCTTCGCCCTAAGTCAGCTGGGATAGGCTCCAGCCCCCCGCGACCCTAGTGAGGATAAAGCGGTGTATAGATAGTGGATGGATGGATGCTTTATGTCTTATTTTGAAGGCCCTTTTATGGACGGGAATTTAAAATCAGCGCTGTTGCTTATCAAAATAGCAGGTGTTTGGCTGCTACAGTCTTACTCGAAGTGGCATCACCAGTAGCTAATGTTAGCAAGTATCATCGGTAATATCGTTAACATAAGGAACGACAAATGGATTTGACTAAAAAAGCCGAGGACACATTATGTGGCCATATGGTGGCAGACAGTCAATCTGCCCTAAAACATATCCCGCTTTATCATCTATTTTACGCTAAAAGGAACCATAATTTATGAAATGAAGCTGTTTCCAAAAACTCTTGAAACTGGTAATTGAGACCATAAACTAATAAAGACAATGCTTTCTAAAGTAAGAAATCAAGTGAGAAGAAGGGCCACTTTCAAATAGACTTGTATACAGTCCGATTTCTTTTTGCAAACCAGGAGAGTTTCCCCACTGCTGGCTGGTAGAAGGAATGCAGGTATAAGTCCCTTCTGGGTAGGCTCAGCTTTCAACAACAATCTATTGTTGCTTCATCAACACCAAGCTTCTAGCACCTCATGTTTTTTATAGATTAATGCTGCAGTTACCACTTGTGTCTAAATTAACAACCTGAGACCACACCTCTGTGTCAGAATTAAAATGCTACAAGTGCGACACTTCTGTTTCCAACACTTAACATATTTACAGCGAATGTTAAACTACTACTACAGTAATGAGTGTAAATAACATGTTTGTGTCTTCCCTCTAGGGTGCTGAGTTTTGCATAGCACACGAGGATTTCCTACATCTGGTCCTTCCCTGTCTCACTGACAAGGACACAGTTCTACTCGTATACACGCACTCCGGTGAGGCACGATTTATTTATTTATTTTCATGTTTGGATTTAGTCCAAATCAAATCAGCATGTGTTTTGACCGCCTCTCTACGCAGATGATGTCAGCAAAGTGGTGGATTTGGCTCGGAGAGTGAGAGAGAAGACATCTAACCTCCATGCTGTTTATCATCAGGCTGACGGAGACACCTCAGCTGCTCAACAACAAGTATCTATCTATCTATCTATCTATCTATCTATCTATCTATCTATCTATCTATCTATCTATCTATC